AACTCAACTCTTGTTTCTTTTTAGTAAATTGAGAAATATTAAAAATGTAGAGAGGAAAATTTCCTTATACTTTAGCATCGACAAAAAACAGTCCCTCATTTATTTCCATCTATGTCTATATAGACAGGGCGAAGTCATAGAATTTTTTTTTTTTAAGTCTTATACAAAGGATAAAGTTCTGTATTCTGTAACAAAAAGAGAAGAGAGTGACTCACTCTGTGGTAAGCAGTTTTCCATTCATGTACTACACATTAGCTGTGCAGCCAAGGCTCGACCCCAGTTCTCCTCACACTTACTCCAGTGATCTTTCTATTGTGTAAGTGTGCTCAGACTTACTGATTCCTGGAGTATCTTGGCATGTAGGTCAAACACCTATAGTCCTTAAGAGTGTTGGCCATTACTCATGCATATTGTGTGATATCTCTACCACTGCTTATTGTGTAGTAATTACTTGCCCTTCATTAGTTGTTTATTTTTAACGGACTTCCTTTAGAAAAAAATGTCTTTGCCTCATAAAAACATGAAGAAATGAAATGTATTTGAATTTGCATTGTTTTTTCAGCTTCTCAGCCTACTAGTATTATGTTACTCCAGAAATATGCTTTTCTAACATACCTATATCCAGCTTTATTGGACTGAAAATCTAATGCAACTTAACTTTTTAATTATATTTTCAATATACTTCCTAATAATGGTGAGAAACACTTAAATTTATTGTTATTATATTTAGAGAATGCCAACTATCAACTAATTAATTAACTTGTTCAGGAAGTGGTGGTAAACATATTAAAAAACCGAATTTTGACTTTTAGAGTTGCCATCTCCCGGTTGACTATGTGATGAAGCACTTGGCACAGTCTTGGAAAGACGTTTGTGTTACTTTTATATCACTATCCATTTTAACCATACATTGTTACATTGGGCAAGTTATAATTTTTACCAGGTGAGGTGTAAGACTCCTAAAGTGTTTTTGCAAAACTCCTTTCATTTATTAGTGTAGTTGTAACACTCTCTTGCTAAGACTATGACAGTTGCTTTGTCACAGGTATGCTCACGTACAGTCCTCTCCACACGTATACACGTTATTGCCCAAGAAACAATATTTTTAAAAACAGATTTGATCTTGCTACTTGTAAAAGCAAAAAGGTACATTAGACCTTTATTTTAGACAAAAAACAAACAAACAAACAAACAAACTGGTATGTCAATTAACAATTTTCATCATCTGGCTCTAACTTGTATTTTCCAGCCTCCCTTCACAGTAATACACTTTACACTTTACTAGGCTACTTGCCATTGCCAAACATTATCAGCTATCCTACTGCACCAGCATATGGATAGACCATTTACTCAATATGGATTACTACTTTCAATCTCCATTAAAATCGCGCACTCTCTTCGCACACTCAAAAATGTACCTCATGTATAAATACTGCACTCTGCCCAGTATTGGCTTCTCCTTGCTATTCACTTTAGCTCTGGGAAGTTTTCTTATAGTATTCATTTCATAATTTCTCTTCCTCCATCTTCTGCATTCTTTTTCCCAGGAATGCTGGTTCAAGTTGGATATTTGTTTTTTGGGGGTTCTTTCTCTCTGCTTCTTGTCTTTTCTATCATATATTTCTTTGGAGTAGAGGGGTCTGTTTATCTCTGTCCTGAGAGATTTTTCTAACCTTTCATTTCCAACCCACTTAATTTCAACAATCATTTTTAACTTTCTGAGAGTATTTTTAAATTCTCTGATTGTTTTTGTTCTTGTTTTATTGTTTTATTGATGTCAAATTGTCTGTGGAGATACTAATTGAATGGTATATAAAATGTCTTTTCTTTCCTCATTTATCTTGGCCTTTCTTCATTCTGCTACATGTTTTCGATTCTTGGTTGACCCTTCAGATGTATGAATGAGGGAAGAATAAGGGACAGGATTAAGGCTGAATGGTGGAGAGCCAGCTCTTGGACCATTGGTCTCCTAATCGTTAGAATGAATTAGAGTTTGTGTGTCGGATCCAGCATTTCACTAGTTGCCCAGATATTTCCTTCAGTCTCTTCAGAGAAAGGCCTCACGTTATTTGCTTTAAATTATGAATGGTCTCTGCCCGGCTGGTGAGGCTCAGTGGTTGAGCGTCGACCCATGCACCAAGAGGTCGTGGGTCCATTTCCCAGTCAGGGCACATGCCCAGGTTGTGGGCCCAATCCCCAGTGTGGGGCCTATAGGAGGCGGCCAATTGATGTTCTCTCTCATTGATGTTTCTATCTCTCTTTCCCTCTCTCCCTTCCTCGCTCTCTAAACCTCTCTCAATAAATAGATAAACAAACAAACAATGAATGGTTTCACCTACAATTTATAGAAAGGTATTATAGATTTTTGAGACAGGAAACTGACAGGGTAAGATTAATTCAGAGAGAATATGCAGGTATGGAAGACACTAGACTAGAGAGAAGACTTGAAATGTTAATGAAGAAACTGTAACACTTATCCAAGTAGGTGATAGGGCCTGAAGCAGGGCCCAATGAAATAGTTGGGACAGATTAAAGAAATTATGAAGATAGAATATTCAAGGTTCAATAGTTTGGATAAAACTAAGGATTGGAACCAGTGTGTCTAGACAAATGGAGACACCTTTAATAAAAATTGGCAAGTCAAGGAGAGAAGTTGATTTTTGTGGAGAAAAACAATGACTTAATTCCTTCTCATCTTTCAACAAATCTTTCCCACTCTGTGTAGCAGCAAATTTTTATATCATTGAGAAGGCAGAATATTCTATCTGAATCATTGTTTCCTTGCAATGCCATTATAGTTTCTTAGGGATGTTATTTTTATGTGAAGCATTATAAATCGAGTTGTCTTATGTAGTAATTTGGGGAAGGATGAGTATATGATAGAATTTAAAGAACTATTCTTTCAGAATGTCATGAAGAATATACAGATCTTAGTGATCCATACAAGATGGGAGTTTAGATTTGGAAGGTCCAATCTACATGATCAATTTTAAGTTTACTTATAAATGACACCTATCAGAAATTGTAATAATGGAAAATGAAATCAAATGAACTTGGCAATAGTGCCCCTGGACACTAGAAACGAGGAAATAAATAAGTGATGGGTTTTTTAACGCAGAAACAGAACTTACGAACATATGATAACTCTAATGAAGCCTGTGTCCATTCTCTTAATTGCCGTAGTTGACCTATGCTCCACTTCATCTGATTTGATCATCTGCGCTTTCTCGAGTGGGGAGAGAGCAGGGAATGAAAGTGAAAGAACTACTTATAATTAGTGAGGGAAATGCTTAGGGGAAAAAATAGAAGATTTGGGAATGTTACAAAAAAGCTCTAGAAACAACGGTTGTTTTTATTTTAAATAGTATAGGCAGTTGTGGTTTTGTTTTCTTTTGATTTCTACATGACATCAGGCCGCAGAGAAGCTGCCGCTAGCTGCAGACTTCCATGTGAAGGATTCCGCAGTGTCAGGTGACCTGCCCCGAAAACAGGTTAAAACCCTGTTTCCATGGATCATATTACTTTCACAATGAATAGTCTCCTTTTGTGTGGAATTTTGAAGTGTTGTTTTTATTTGTTCTATGTAATTATTTAGTTATATGTCATTATTTAACTTACCTTTTGAATCATGGACTTGGGAGGGGTAAAGATTTTCTGGTTCATTATTTCCCTAAGTGCACTAGTCATCTGTGCTTATAAAGAAAGTTGTCTGTCATCAGTTATGCTGGGAAATTGCTAGGTTAAACACAGTTAAATAAGATTTTTATTTCGGTGGTGGTGGTGGGGAAGGGAGGGCATCTCAGAAACTTTAATATAACGACTAAGGAGAAACAATATACTGTATAGCTTTTAACAAATTTATTTGACCACAAAATCCTACCTTTATAGAGCCTTGTTTGGAACTACTGTTCCTCAGAACACGTGAGAAAACAAATCCCTTAAATTTACAGATAAATAGTAAAGAGGTAAAATGACTCATTCAAAGCTGCATACTTACTTAAAGAGCTAAATTTGAACTAAAGTTTTCTGTAATATTTCATTTTGCTCCCTTTTGTCCCTAAATTCAGAAAAGTCTTAAACCACAGTCTGTAAAATATACATGGGGAGGGGGGGGCTGAAGAAATAAACTAATGATTTCTAATTATTTCCAGTATATTTTGAACGGGCACATTTACTTTGACAAAAAGAGTAAGAGAGAGCCAGATCATATTTGTAACCAAGGTGACACTTTTGTAATCAGGAAACATTTCTTTCAAGCTATAAAAATCTAACTACTTTCCAATTATAAAAAAACTCACACAATACAATCATGTATTATCCAAAAGCTTCTCCACTTTCCCAAAAAAGGACTGGAAAATGCCTATTTGCGATTTGTTGTCTGTTGTTCCAGACCCCATCTCGACGTAAACATGGAACTTTTAAAGGCTTCTTGACATAGATAGCATTATGGTAAACATAAACTCTTCTTTAACCGTAATTTTAAAAATCAACAATGTTACATGTTTATCTTCCCACATTAATACATATAGATCTTCTTTTCATAGCTCAATAATGTTGCATTCTGTAGCTCTTCTATAATTTAATCAGTTTACCAATGATGGACTTTAGGGTAGTTACAATTTTTTTTTTTACCAGAGAGTGCTGTGGTAAATTTTGATACAGGTCTTTTTTATTTTCTAAACTTTGTGTAAGTATGTCTGTAGGATAGTCATTGAAGTGGAATTCCTGGGTCAAAGAATATTCATATTTACATTTTTGTAAGTATTGCCAACCCGCCTTTTAAAAATGGTGTTAGTTTATTCTGTCACTGCCAGCATTGCAACTGGAAACTTTAGAATGGTATAACCTTCATTAAACTTAAACAAACAAAAAAGACTTTATACTTAATGGATGACAAAGAATACTTTTCTCTGTTAATCTTAAAATGATAGAGATAATTTATAAAGCATTGATAATCATGATTTCTCTTTCTCTCCCCTTCCCTCCTCTGCTCTTTACAGAGCAAATTATTCATGGAAGGATTTAGAAGCCTAAAAGAAGGAGAACCAGTGGAATTCACATTTAAAAAATCTTCCAAAGGCCTTGAATCAATACGGGTAACAGGACCTGGTGGGAGCCCCTGTTTAGGAAGTGAAAGAAGACCCAAAGGGAAGACACTACAAAAAAGAAAACCAAAGGGAGATAGGTAGGTACATCGTTTTAATTTGTTAGTTTGAGTTTATTTTATTTGGGAAATACTTTCAAAAATTTATTTATATTTTTATTATGTTATTAGACTTTATGTAGTCTAGCAAAAATAACATGCTCCCACTATGTAGCTGAATAGAGTTTTTTTCAAATTAAAATGTACTTATTGTTTTTTCTTTTTTTTCTTCTCACCTGAGGACATTTTTGCATTTATCTTCAGATAGAATGGGAAGGAAAGAGGGAAGAAGAGAGAAAGAGAAGCATCGATGTGAAAGAGACATATTGAGTGGTTGCCACGCACACGACCCCAACCAGGGCCAGGGACAAACTGCAACCCCGAGGTACATGCCCTTAGCAGGAATCGAACCTGGGGCTCTCTGGTCTGCAAGCCGATGCTCTAACTGCTGAGCCAAACTGGCCAGGACTGTTTTGTCTATTTTTATTTTATTCAGTCCTCACCCTAGGACATTTTTTTGCATTTATTTTCAGATAGAGCGGGAGGGAGAGGGGGAAGAAGAGAGAGAAACATTGTCTGGTTGCCACCCACACAACCCCAACCGGAGCAGGGACAAACTGCAACTGAGGTACGTGCCCTTAGTGGGAACTGAACCCGGGTCTCTCTGGTCTGTGGGCTGAAGCTCTAACGGCTGAGCCAAACTGGCCAGGGCTATTTTTAATAGATAACTCATACATAGAAAATTCAAATAATATAAAAAGCCTATAAAGAAGTTAGGGAAAAAATCACTTGAAATCCTAGTAGAGGTGGGAATTATAACATATATGCAACTTTTTGAAACTAGCATTTCTTTTTCACTTAACAGTATATCATGGAACATTTCATGTCAGTCATTAGCACCTGCATAGATGCCCCCAGGGTGCATGTTCCAAATTTAATTTAAGCCTGATTATGTTAATGGATACTTAGGCTGTTTCCGGAATTTTGAATTTATCAGTAACACCACAGTGAATCTTTATATGTACATTTTTGGAAAATTGTCTGATTATATCCTCCGGCTTAATATCTCATAGTGAAAAATGTAGAACAAAAATTCTGCACTTTTAAAAGTTTTGGTATGTTTCCAGACTTCTCTCTAGTTATGATTAAGGCCAATATACAACCCCTCCTAAAGTGAGACTGACTGTTCATTGAATAATGTTAACATTTTAATCTGCCCAATTACATTAGTTAAGAGGTGCCACTCATTGTTTTTCTTTGCATCCATTGATTGGTTTAGAGGTTAAATATATTTTAATATGCTAATTTTATTTATAAATTTTTTCTTCTGTGAATTATGTTTGTCTTTCGCTTATTTTCCCTTTGAGATGTTCATTTGCTCTATTGCTTTGAAAGTTCTTTTTCTATTTACAATTTAACCTTTTTTTGAAACAGATAAATATTTTTCAACTTGTAAAATATATCTTGGCTTTAATTATAGTGACCTTTTAAAAATAGTTTTGAACTTTTGAAGTTTTATTTATTTATTTTTATCCTCACCCGAGGACATTTTTCCATTTTTTTGTTCAGACAGAGTGGGAGGGAGAGAGAGGGAGAGAGAGAGAGAGAGAGAAACATCGATGTGAAAGGGACACATCGAGTGGCTGCCACCCGCATGACCAACCAGGGCCGGGGACAAACTGCAACTGAGGTACGTGCCCTCAGCGGGAACCGAACCCGGGTCTCTCTGGACCTCAGGCCGACGCTCTAACCAAACTGGCCAGGGCGAACTTTTGAAGTTTTATAGACAAGTCTGTCACTTATGACTTGATAGCCATCTGGCTTTCTAAACTACCAAGTTAAAAATATACCCACCTAGCCTTTGCCATTTTAGCTTGGTGATTAGAGTGTTCACCTGTAGACCAAAGAGTCATGGGTTTGATTCTGGTCAAGGGCACATACCTCGGTTGCGGTTTGGTCCCGGCCCTGATTGGGGTCATGCAGGAAGCGACTAGTTGATGTGTCCTTCTCACATTGATGTTTCTCTCTCCCTCCCACTCTATCTGAAGATAAATGGAAAAATATCCTCAAGTGAGGATTTAAAATATATATATATATATATATATATATATATGTGTATAAAATCTCCTCTTATACGTTTAACTACCTCTTCTCTGTGTATATAACTTGTTTTTGGAGAGAAGACTATAACAGTGTAGCTTTTCTTTTCTCTTCAAATTACTAAATAGTTATCCCTATGGTATTTATTGCCTCATCCATATTTTCCCTCTGGTTTGAAAAGCCCTCAGTAAGAGAATAAATTCAGCTTTGATCTACATTTTAGGAGCTCATTTTGTATAAAAGAAAGAATCATGAAAAGCTATGTAAGTGAAATGATACACTTACCTGTTAAGGTGATAGTATATACATATAATCAAAGCAAAGTAAAATAAAATCAGACAAAAGAAATAAAAATTTAAAAACTATTTTTCTACGTCTCTTAGATAAAATATTTAACAATATCATTCTGACGCAAAACTATGTGCTGGATTGGAACCATTACGAGGGAGAATAATGGCAGCTGAGCATAGAGAAGTAAGATTGCAGGACATTCCGTTATGAAACTTGAAACTCTTTCTCTTAGACTCAACTCAAATGTCTGCTATGTGAAATCATTGCTATATAATGTCAACCATTGTAAGACTTTGAATTTGGGGGGAAATGGAAAGCCATTGGAAGATGTGAGTTTGAAAAGTAACATGATCTGATTTCCCTCCTTAAAGTATCATTCTGGCAGCTAAGAAACAACTGAAGAAAATAATGCAGGAAAGGGATGGTAGCAATAGAGGTGGTGAGCAAAAATCTTGCTATGTTTTGAAGGTAGAGACAGAAGGACTTCCTAATGGATTAGATGTGGACTGTGAGAAAAGTATTCTGGTGACTTCAAGGTTTGTTTCACCTGATCAACCAGGAAGATGGAGAGACCATTTACCAAGATAGAGAAGACTAGAGATGGAGCAGGAAATTAGAAATATGATTTCAGTCATACTCAATTGAAGATACATAACAGACATCCAAGTGGAGATGTACATTAGGCAGGTAGATGGGTGAGTATGGAGCTCCAGGACTGAAGATAAAAGTTTGGCAGTAGTCAACAAAAGATGACGTCTACAGCTATAAGACAGAGTGAGACCACCATCAGAATGAGAATTCATAGTAAAGGGAAGAACTGAGCCCGGGGGGCATTCCAGCATTTAGGGGTCAGGAAGAGTAAGAGGAATAGCAAAGGTCACTAAGTAAAAGGAGGGAAATAGGAAGATAATCAAGAGAGAGTTTTATTACAGAAGTCAAAGAAAGAAAAATGTGAAGAAGGAAAGAGTATCCGCTATGATAAATGGTAATATGATTAAAGAAGATGACCACCGAGACTTGGTCATCTTTTTAGCAACTGGGGAAGTCGTTAGTGAAGTTGACAAGGTCAGATTCAGAGGACTGGTGGGAGTGGACGGCTAAGTGGGTTGTTTTCAACAGAAAGGAAAGGAGAAGTGGAGACAACCAGCATAGACAATTTTGACAAGTTATCCTATAAATGGAAGAAGAAAAATGAGTCAGTAGGTGAGAGGAAGAAATATAGCATGTTTATGTGTCAGTGGGAGTGGTATAGGAAAGGAGGAAAAATTGAACATGCAAGAGGGTGGAGGACAATTGATAGAGTGATTTCCTTCAATGGGAACAAGGATTGGGATTCAAAGCAAGTGTTTCATTCTTTTGCAAGTGGCTGTCTAGTTTTCCAACACCATTTATTCAGGAGACTGTACTTTCCCCATTGTATAATTGTGGCTCTTTTTTTTTGTAAATTAATTGACCATATGTCTGTGGAGTTATATCTGAGTTCTGTACTGTATTCCACTGATCTATGTGTCTGTTCTATGCCAGTATCATACTGTTTTTATTACTATAGTTTTGTAATACATTTTGAAATCAGATAGCATGATGCCTCCAGCTTTGTTTTTTCTCAAGATTGCTTTGGCTATTCGGGATCTTTTGTGGTTTCATAAAAAATTTAGGATTGTTTATACTATTTCTGTAAAAAATAGCGTTGGAATTTTGATAGGAATTGCATTGAATCTGTAAATCATTTTTGAGGGTATGGACATTTGAACAATATTAATTCTTCCCATCCCTGAGCATGAAAGAGCTTTCCATTTACTTGTGTTTTCTTCAATTTTGTTCATCAGTGTCTTATAGTTTTCAGTGTACAGATTTTTCACCTCACTGGTTAAATTTATTTCTAGGTATTTTATTATTTTTCATGCAATTGTATATGGGATTGTTTTCATAACTTCTCTTTCTGTTGGTGTATAGTAACCAACTGATTTTTGTGTATTGATTTTTGTATCCTGCAACTTCACTGAATTCATTTATTCTGTTTTGGTTGAGTCTTTGGAAGTTTCTATATATAATATCATGCCATCTGCAAACAGACAATTTTACTTCTTTCCAATTTGGATTTTGTTTATTTCTTTTTTCTTGGAATAAAAGTGGTGAGAGCCTTGGCTGGTATGGTTCAGTGGTTAGAGCATTGGCCCGCAGACCAGAGTCATGGGTCCGTTTGCAGTCAAAGGCAAGTCGTACCTCAGTTGCAGTTCAGTCCCCAGCCCTGGTTGGGTTGTATGGGAGGTAACCAATTGATGTGTCTCTTTTGCATTGATCTTTCTCGCTCACTCGCTCTCTCTCTCTCTCCTTCCCCCCTCCCACTCTATATGAAGATAAATGGGAAAAAAATATTCTCGGGTGAGGATTAAAAAAAAACAAATTGGTGAGAGTGGGCATCTTTGTCTTGCTCCTAATCCTAGAGGAAAAGCTGAAAGCTTTTGTATGATTAGAACTGTGGGCTTGTCATAATATGGCTCTTATGTTTGGTACATTCCCTCTATTCCTACTTTATTGAGAGTTCTTATCATAAATGGATGTTAATTGTCAAAAGCTTTTTCTGCATCTGTTGAGATGATTCTATGCTTTTATCCTTCCTTTTGTTAATGTGGTGTGTCCTTTTGATGGAT